CCCTCAGTCCCTTGAAACTACTAACCTACTTTCTATCTATGGATTTGCCTATTCTGGATATTTTCTACAAATGGAATCATACAATGTGAGGTCTTTTGTGACTGGCATAGTTTTCCAGGTTCATCCATATTGTAGTGTGTCAGTACTCCATTCCTTTTTGTGGCTGAATAATTGTATGGGTATACCACATTGTATTTATCCATTTATCACAAACTTGGTTATTTGTACTGTTTTGGCTATTACGAATAATGCTGTTATGAACCTTTGTATATCAGTTTTTGTGTGGACATACGCTTTCACTTGAGTATAGCCACGAGTACAATTGCTGGGTCATATGGTAACAGTTTATTTTTGAGAAACTGCCAACTATATATACCCCATAGCCAACACCATTTACATTCGTATCAGTAACGTTCAAGGGTTCCAATTTCTTCCACATCCTCACCAACACGTTATTTTCCCTTTTCTTAGTCATGCTAGTGGGTATGGAGTGCCATCTCATCGTGGTTTTGATTTGTGATTTGGTTTGGACAGCTAATGATGTTGAGCATATTTTCACGTGTTTATCAGCCATTTGTATTCTAGGAAGAAATGTCTATTGAAATCCCGTGCCCATCTTGAAATTGGGTTATCTATCTTTTTATTGTACTGAGTTATTTTATAATAATATGCTAGATATACTAGATCCTTATTAGAGAAATGATTTGCAAATATTTTCTCCCATTCTGTGGATTGACTTACTAATTCACTTTAGTTACACTTACAAGTAACTTTTTTTTTTTTAAGATTTTTATTGGGGAATCGGGGGAAGGGGAACAGACAAGCTGCTGTTCCCCAGTCCAGCCGTGGAGGATGCCTCCCCACCGGCCCAAGTCGGCACCACCATTGCGTTTTTCCCGGGTGAGGCAGATCAGTCGCCGGCTTCTGGACGGCTGTTCTCGGCGGCTGCCGGCCACTCACGCTGGCCGCTGGCCACACGTGGCAGCGTCACTGGCCCTCATATGTGGGATCCGAACTGGGGTCCTCTGGTGTCCCAAGCCAGCTCCCAACCAACGCGCCACTCGGCCGGCCCACGAGTAACTTTATTAATTACCTACTCGCATACTATCAATGAACATGTACAATTTCTATAGTTCTTTTTTTAAACCTATATTGTTTTTTTTATATTTAATTACATTAAATATATTTATTTCAATGTTAATTTTACATCTGTTGAATCTAATAAAAATTAGGGCTTGTATTTTCCATTTTTTGTTTTGTTTTTCTATTTCATTTTCTAGCAATTCACCTTTATTAAAGTGTTGGTCTATAACAAATTAAACTAGTCTTTCACCACAGGTAGTTTGAAAAGCATGGGGTTAGAATGTTTCAGACTTGGAATGTTGTGCTCCAAACTGAGTATACTTAGCATCTTTTCTCCAGGGCCAACACTTGCCTTTGCCTGTCTTTGAGAAAATTCATACAGAAGTGTCTTACCAACATCATTCTCTTTGGCTCATAAGCTGGGAAAGGTTCTGGGAAAGCGAATCTGGGTCTAAATCCATTTTATTTTATTTCTTACCTGAGAGTATCTACCAGTCGTCTTGCAATGCGCTTTCTTCTCTTCAGTCTGAAGACCCAAATTCTACTTATCCCACAGACTGCAGGTTCTGGTACATTGGAACACTGCCAAGCCCTGTGACATTCTTTAGAGCTTGGGGATTCTGGGCCCGTTGGTTCAGACAGGACACGGAAGGCCTGCAATAATATATAGAAACATCTAGAGTTAACAATACAGGTAAGTTCATATTTCTTTTTAAAAGCCATTCCTTAAACAAAACTTAAGTATCTAAGATTAATCTTATACCTTCACCAAATAAGTTAAAAATTCTTTGGGCCGGCCGAGTGGCTCAGTTGGTTAAGAGCTCGCTCAAGAGTGCGAGCTCTGAGCAACAGGATTGCCGGTTCAATTCCTGGCCTGAGCTGAGCTGCCGCTGAGCTGCCAACAGGTGGCAGGATGGCTCAGCTAAAAAAAAAAAAAAAGAAGAAAAATTCTTTGATAGTTCTTGAATTCTTGTTCATTTAGTCACACAATGCTTAAAAAAATGCTAGTATTGAGATATTGCCAACATTCCAGTGTATTACATACCATTATAAAACTTCCTTCTTTTATTGATTAAAAAAATTGTAAAAAATCAGACTCTGACTTTTACTAAAGTACATAAACTTCTCCCATTCTCTCCAGTCTAAAATGTATATATGGTATTCTAAAAGAATTGGTAACAACTAAAGACTTTTACATGTTAAGTATGAAATTTGGTAGGCATTTAAGGTTTAAAAACAAACCTCTATTTTCAAATAATGGTAGATTCACAGGAAGATGAAAAATAGTACATAGAAGACCCATATATCCTTCACCCAGTTTCCCCCAAGGTTTATATCTTCCATAGCTACAGTACAATACCAAAACCAATAAATTAACATGGGTATAATGTGTGCGTACAGTTCCATAATTCATTATACTTGTATATTCCTTTAAGCACCACCACACTGAAAACAGAGCTATTGTATCATCACAAAAATCTTCCTCTTTATAATCACCACCACCTTTTCCCCTCCACCATTCCTAAACCCTGGCAACCACAGTGTGTTCTCTATAATTCTGTTATTTTGAGGGTATTATATAAATGGAGTCATACAGCATGTGACCTTTTGAGCTTGGCTTTTTCCAATCAGCACAATGTCTCTGACATCTGTCCCAGTTGTTGCATATATCAACAGTTTGTTCCTTTTCATTGCTAAGTAATATTCCATTGTATGGATGTACTAGTTTGTTTAATCATTCACCTACTGAAGGACACTTACATTGTTTCAGGTTTTGGCTATTATAAATAAAGCTGCTATAAACATTCAGGTACCATTGGTACATTGTGTAGACATAAGTTTTCATTTCTCTGGGATAAATGCCCAGGAGTATGACTGCTGGATTACATGGTAAATGCATGACTAGTATTTTTAAGAAACTGCCAAACTTCTCCCAGAGTGGCTGTAACATTTTACATTCCCTCCAACAATGCATAAGAGATTTAGTTTCCCTGCATCCCTGCCAGCAAAAAATTGTCACTATTTTTTATTGTAGCTGTTCTAATAGATGTGTCCTTAACTAAATTTTAACTGCCATCAAGAAAACTTTGCTTTTGAAATCAGAATGAGCAGAAGAGTATATGTACAAGTTATTTGGCTATATTTCCCTATAATCACTACATACACAGTTTACTTCTTTAAAATCAAAGAAAGAAAAGGCCAAATTGTCATTTTTACTGCCAATAATACAAACCAGTTGCTTTTTTCTCCAATTTCTGATAAACACACAAGAGACAGTGTGTGTGTGTATGTGTATTTACATATATGATGAAAAAGGGAAAAAAGAAAAGAAATAAAGATGGTGGAAATGAGGGGATAAAAGGAAAGCACAAAAAGTACAGAATAAATTAATGCTAGTGTCATTTCAAGATGTATTGAGACAGATAAGTATTTTTAAAAGAAAGGAGACATAAGTGTAGAATATTACATAGTCGAGTAAAAAGAACACATTTAAACTCTAATTCTCTCTAGCTAAAAATTACCCTGTAAGCTCCTTCAATGCAAAAACTACATTTCTCTATTTTAGAACAAGGGTTGGCAACTTTTTTTCTGTAAGGGGGCAAATTGTAAATATTTTAGGCTCTTTGGACCATGTGGACTCTGTTGTACCAATCAACCCTGCTATTGTAGCACGAAAGCAGCCACAGATATGGAAATGAATGATAATTGGCTATGTTCCAATAAAACTTTATTTACAAAAATAGGTAGTGGGCCACATTGGGCCCACAGGCTGTAGTTTGTCACCTCCTTTTCTAGAACACCGCTAATTAGTACCTAACGTAGATTCTAATTAAGGAACAAGTGATGACTATTTTGCCAAGTACTATACTAATCGGCACTAAGCCACACATTCAAGAACTGGGCTCTACAGATCTGCTTATTTAAAATCATTATACTTTCTAATCCAGGTATAGAAATGACTATATGAACATAAGACTGACTGACTTATCCTACTTCTACATGGCAAAATACTAAATAATAATACAAATAAATGGCTTCAATCATTCATATAGTCAAGGATGTTTTAGTAGGAAAAAAAATGTCATTAATGGTAGTAGTCTTAAACACTTTTTGAAACTTCTTCCAACTACTTAATTTTGCTCGCAAATTACGCCAATAATTTGAAAGACTTATACCATACCTGTTTGATGGGCTCTGCAATTAAACACCCAACTACTCTCTTTTCATCAGATATAAAGAGAAAAGTTTTCGTTTTGTTTGGACATCTAGGAACAACTTGCTGGAAGCCCAGTTCACAATCGACAAGCTCTTGCACATCTTCTACCTAATGATGTTAAAAACCAAAAGAGGTGAATTTGTTTTAAAAACTACAATAGAAGCTATATATATTTATATGCACAAAACGTATGATTGCTACATTTTAGCCTCTTTTATCTCTATTTCCTAAAGTTACACACCCCTCCAAAATTGTTTCCCTATTGATGCATGTATCTGCCACTTTGGAAATGGGGATTTAAGAGCCTATTTTAAAGATCACTTTCAGCAAAAAGAAATTCAGGCTCCTGGAAGGGGTAAGGAGTAGGAAGTGCCAAAACGGATTTTGTTTCACCTTTATTCTTTCTTCACTGGGGCTAAACATTCAACCCAAGAAACACAAGTAGCACCAACATAATAGACTCTGGGGCCATTCATCTCTCAACATGGAAAAGTTTAGTTTATCCTTCACAAGTGGAAGATGAAGGTAAAAGATAAACTATAGATCTTATCTGTTTTCTTTAATCTCCACTGCCATTCATTTATTTGTCTTTTAATTCTAAATTTAGGTTTGTGTGAACTACTATGAAAGTCATTCTTACATGTGTACTAAAGTGGGTTACCTATCAGCAAAGGTGTTTCACGCTTTAACATAAGTGGTTTCTCAGAGACGGGAAAGAGAAGGAGCAGCAGGAGAACAAGGATTAAAAAGCTCATGTTCTATACCTTTCTGAGAGCATAGCTGGGATCATGTGGCAGGATCAACACAATTTTGCCATCCCAAAACTCGGCTACTACACGTTCTTTTTTCCAGCCCTGCCAAAGGGGAAAGGAAATAAAAAAAAAAACACACAGTTTAATTTGTAGAGGAAAAAGCCCCAAAACATTAAATAATTTGGTCTGGAGAGGACAAAAAGAAAAAGGAATGAAACAGAATAGAATAAAATCCCAATAAAGGAATGCAAATCCAAGTAATGTGGGAAGGGAAATAAAAGATGCTTAAAACCTAAAACAAAGGGCCTGTCCTCCAGGGGCTGACGCTCTGTTGGGATACATGCACATAATCTATTACAAAATGGGGCAAAGTCAAATAGGAGCTCTTCATGAGAACAGAGAGAAAAAAAAAGAATCATTAGGAGCGGGAAAGTGGGGGAGGAGAAGGGAAAGCAGAGTTTTAATTAAGCAGCCTAAAAATCTGACGAAGGAATGAACTACAGCAATAAAAACAGGGAAAAGGATGCATTTGAATAGTGGGTATAATCATAACGATAAGGCCAACAATATTTGACTGGAAAGGTTCTTGATAAAGAGACCTCTCCTTTCAGAAAAGAGCGAGACTGGAGAAGTCATAGAAAAGCTCTTTTTCTAAGGCAATCTATAAAGGAAAGTGAGGAGAGGATGGGATTCCAAGTCTTTGAATTTTGTATTTTGACTGTTCAGCTCTGCTTAGAAAGCTAGGGGTGAGAACGCAGGGTGTTCACTCAACCTAGAACAATACAACTCTTATATTAGGACAATTTGAAATGGCATTTTTTAAAAAAAGTTAACTTTTAAACACCGTCAGCCTCAAATATTAAGAACAACAAAACTGCAGATCATGAAATATTTATGGATATATGGGTCTTTCAATATTTAAGCAAAAGAAATGTATCTTTTAAAGCAGTTTTACTTGAGAACAAATTGAAAGACTATTTTTTGACTTACTGCATACTTGACTCCCTCCAGAAATCTGTGGTGATGCTGAACATGCTGCAGTTCATCCTCAGGGTTGGAAGCAGTGTAGATCATGCCACAGGACTTACACATGGTGGCTCCAAAATGCTTCTGACCCGCATCCTGGAATTGGGGGGGAAAAAGCCATCTAAACACATCACACATAGCTCTACATTTAGTTCATGTAACCATCCATTCAAATTCCTCCTATTTTTTTTTTTTTATCCTAACACAAGTGAAATGCTAAATGAAAGTCTGGTTACTATCCTTCTTCCCCTCCCCCCAAACAAAATAAAAGAGGCGAGACTTAAAAATGCAATAAATTAATGAAAGAAATGGAATTGTATTTTGGAATGGACAGTGTAAAAAAAATCAAGATTCTTTAGCTAGACCCATAGTTCTAAAAAGGAATAAGATTAAATCATAAAACTTATAGCTGGAAGAACAAGGGAACTTCTTTATTAAGCTCTTAAATGAGAGACCTAAAAGAGCCTTATTTCAGAGGCAGGGCAAAAATTTCAGGACTTCTATATTCATTATATAGTATTTTTTTTCCCATAAGTGTTTAGGAATATAAAAATCCTCTGCCTCATGAGTTGATAAAAAGAATAAATATAATACATAATAAAAGTTAAGGAAAAGCAAAGATAAATTCATGACTATAGGGAAGTCAGGAATATTCAATATCAAGACCTAACAACTTCTATTCTACCTCCTAAGGCATTGCTTACTGCTACTGAAAACACCAGGTTCTGAACTGTCTAATACAGGAACTGGCAAACTTTTTCTGCAAAGAGCCAGACAGTAAATATTTTAGGCTTTGCAGACCACACATGGTTTATCACATATTCTTCTCTTTTTTTCCCCCCAGCCTTTCAAATATAAAAACTATCTTTAGCTCCCGGGCCAGGGTCCAAATTTGGCCCACAGCCAGTTTGCCAAACACAGGTCTAATACAATGTAGCGATTCTCATATTTTTTGTTGATTAACAATAATCTTCCTTATCTGAACACAACTCATTCATCAGCATTCTACTAAATGACTAGCATTGCCCAACACTATTGGTATGAAAATATACTCGCCTAGCTTTAAATGCTGCTGCTCCAACAAAGTTGGCATTTACAAAATAAAGTATCTATAACCCATGGTGACTATGCTAAGAAAACATGCCAGGCTGCATGTTCTGTATGTGAGAGCCAAGTACAGGAGGTGCTTTGTTTTAAATCTACTCACAATGATGAGCTGGTCTTTTGTTTCTTTATTTGGATCTCTGGTGTTAGTACTTTTCTGTGTATTGATCTGTTTCAAGAAGTTAGAAGGTAGGATGGATCCCACAGAAGACTTTTCTTCAATTAGAGATCTTGAAACAAAAGTTGATAAACATTATTTCGGAATTTTAAATGTTCGAGGAATTACAGTGAAAAGAAAACCAATATGTATATATTATGACATCTGCAGAGTACGTACCTGGCAATTTTTAGTACTTTCTATCAGCTCTTCTCATCCCGGCATGCATGGCCACAGTCTCTTTACTTCTATCTTAGCAATTTTAGCACTTTATCATATGTATTTGTTTAAATGCCTGTCCTCCCCTTGATAGCAGGACCATGTGTTATTTATCTTCACATCTCTAAAGACTCAGTATAGTTCAATACCACATAGCACTCTATTAATGTTTGCCAAATGAAGGAATAAACAAAAAATGAAGAGACTCTGTAATCTACCTAAAGTAATAGATTAAACCACAAGAAATTCATGATATCTGGCCTTTTGTGTCCATATTGAAATCGAAATAAAAAGCAATTTCAAATGACTCAACCAATAGTATTCTAATATCTCCTTATGCTAGATTAAATTAGTTTACACACTTTTATCAGCTAACTGTGGTAGATTTCAACCTTTAATATACAGTCATGAAAGAAGACATAGATGAGAAAAGAGAAATGTGAAAAAAAAAAATAGGAATATGGCCTTTGAAGGGGGAAAGTTGCCCACCCAACCCACTCTCGGAGGTGATTTAAGGGGAGGAGTCCTAAGAGTAGGAGAACTTAGCTAGGAAGCTCCTTGCTCAGTATCTCTTGTTATTTATCATCCAATGGGAAGAGAAGAACCAAAGCTGCTTAGGAAGATGCTCAGACTATGAGAAACCTTTTTCAGGGCTTCCCACCTATCATGCTCACATCCGCCCATGCCTCCCCCGTCCACTATTAGCTTGACCAGGATAGTGGCAGCTTCAGCTGGGATTTATAACACCTTTAAGTGCTGCACGTTACTTACTCCTGTGGCCAGAGTTTCCTCATCTATAAAATGGGGGTAATAACAGTACCTACATAAGGTTGTAAATGCTCTTTAACATTAACTATTACAAATATATTGTCACCCAAAGAAAGCAATATAGCTTAATGGGCTTTGATTCAGATATGGATTCTAGTCCTGGCTCTGTCACCTAATAGCTAAGCAACTGTGGCTGAATTACTAAGTTTCCTCAGCTAAAAACTGAATTGATTTGAAATGCTTGAGGAATCACAATGAAAAGAAAATTGATATGTATATAACATCTGAATTGAACCTACCTTCTTGGTTGTTGTGAGGATTAAGTGAGATAATGGATTTAAACTACTTATTATGGGCCAGGTTCTGTATAAAAATGTTAGCAATTATTATTACTGAAGCCCATAAAGACCTTTTTCTCTTCTCTCAACTTGGGTTGCTATGCAGTTTCCATGAGAGGGTCTGATTTCATCTCCTATTCTTAATATCCCCTTAGCAGGGAAGAAAAAAAATGCTCTACGAATTAAATAGTATAAGAAAGAAAGAGACCCATGGAACTCATAATTAAATAATCATTGAACATTAAAGTAAGAGCAATTCCTACCTTTTTGTATTGACTGAAGATGCACTGAAGATGGGATACACAATGGACTTAGGAGAAACTGGTAGGGGGAAAAAATGACAATAATTTGTATAACAAAATAAACTCAACGCTTTGTATCTTAAGATTTTAAAGACTAAGAGCAAAGTACTCATATTACTTGACTTCAAGACTTAACAGTGATCAAGACAGTATGGTATTGGCAAAAAGATTGACAAATTGATCAAGGAACAAAATAGAGAGCCCAGAAACAGACTCATGCACATATAGTCAACTAATTTTTGACCAAGAGGCAAAAGTAATGGAGGTAATAGATAAATGGACATTTTATCCATTTTATCCAAAAAGATAACAGAGTTCATTCTCTAGAAACAAGACCAAGATAAGTGAGAGTCTGATCTGCTTATGGGTAAGTTACTTAACCTAAGTCTGTTTCCTCATCTATAAAATGGACATACAAACCTACTTCTTATGGTGGTTGTGAGAATTAAATGATTATCTGTAGTTATGAAGTAATAAACTTTTACCATTTGTATACTACCTCCATGAATTTTGCCATATCCTTATACCATCTGTATTGTTTTTTTATTCACCAAATGTTTTTCTTTAAATAGATTTGACAATATACTGAAATAAATTAATTTTAAAAGAAAATTTTATAACTACAATAGAAGGCCATTATTTTTGTTACATGTTTTAATATATCAGTGATAGCACAATCCATGGAAAACATAATGGCATACTGACTACTTAGCCCTGCCTGGTACATTTTTAGCACCCAGTAAACACTAGTTATTATCATTACAAACAATCATTTTATACATATACATATATATATATATATATATATATATATATTCACACGTATATTATCTATCTATCTATCTAGATCCTCCTAAGGGCTATCGTTCCAGATTATGCTTTTAGTTTTCTTCTTTTGTTTTCTTCCTACAAGCTACAGTTTCTCACTATAGTCAGTACTCTACTTGCAGAATTTTAATTTATTTCCACATTTAAAGATATAACCAACAAGGTAAAGTTACCAAGAATCTGGTTGGTAAGTATACTTAATTAACCTCTTTATGTAGTCACAGTTTAATAAATATTGTTTAATTGAATAATGACACCATAAGTTAGTAATAGAATTTCAGAACTCAGAAGAATTTAAAAATTAAGACTAGCTCCTTACTTTAGTGATCTCATCCCTAGATCTCACAGTTTTTTAGTGGCATACCTAGATAAAATGCCAAGGTTCCTATGCCCAGTTCAGTGTCCTTTCTATGGCTTAGTAAATTCTGCTTAGAATTGGGTTTTGATCTGAAATATATAACATAAATTGTTTTTAGTCCTTCCTATTATTTTGGGTAAAAGGTAGGGTAGGTATGATAAGAACACCCAGCTCTAGGGAGCTTAAGTAACTTGGCCACATCCATAGACCAATTAAGTGTCAGTATTTTGTCTTAAGTTCCAGTCTAAGGTCTCCTTGTCTCCCCCTTTTCGAAATGCACTTCATTGTTTACCATAGAAAACAGTGTCAAGATAAACACAAAGATACAAACATATACATTAGGTATACACATATACCTAATATAAAAAAACCCCAAAATATTATTGTATATAATTTTATATTGACACATGTAATGAAGCATTATTATAAATAAATGAACTCATTTTGAGAAAGACATTTTCTCTTACTTACCTGCCTTGTTCTCACTTTGAGAGTCTTCCGAAGAAAAATATTTATTTTCATCAGGCTTATGTTCCCTTGAAGAAACTACTCCACTTGATGAATCCTGAATATAACGAATAGGTAAAATTAAAGAAAATCTGTGATTCTTATTCATTTTCTATTTAGTGAATGCATTCTAATAGATCTGTTTCTAAAACAAAATATCTAGATTATGAATTACATTTTATAATGTGATTTTAAATCTTCAATTTCCAACCTATTTTAAGAAAAATTTCCTCTATATTTACTAAGTGTATAAAAACTTTTTAAAAGACAGGGTGTGCATATTTAAGTCTGTAATTTGTCATCCTAACAAAAACGTATTATAATTCCTGATAAAGATGGTAGACTGGAGATTATAGAACATCCCTTCTATAATAATAAGTTGAAAAAAAAAATTAGTGAAAATGGAAAAAATTTCCCCAGTAGCCACCAAACCAGAGAGAGACAATCTTTTGTCATAAGCTTTAAAAACAGGCAGTCAAGGAAAGAAAAAGAACATTCTGGAGTAGCTGGAGAGGCTTCTAACTCCCACTTTTTGGGCAGTAGCTGGAAAGTGAAAAAAGCAAAGTAGAAAAAATTCTAACAAATTTCATTAGCACTACTCATTCAGTGGGACTTAGAAAATACATAGCTTGAGGGAAAAGGAAAAAAAAACTTTTGATTAAAGTAGAACTCCTATTTAAGACCATAATATCTCAGTAGAGATGAGACAACCCATCAGTTTGTCATTTCTCAGGGCTCCATGATGAACTGGGGAAAGGTTATGTGCCCAATAATGAAAACAGGATTCACCTTTAGCTAGTAGAGATGAATTCTACTAGTGGATATTTAAAAAATCTTGAGAGAAGAGCCTAGTTCCACAAATTTAAAGTGCACAAAAGCCCAGCTTCTCAGACTACTGAAAAATAGACAGAACCCAATACCCTGACCCTTAAAATGGAGCTTAGAAAATAAGGCAGTAAAGAGTGTTGCAGAGAATTCGTCACGTTACTGTATCAAGGCTGTATCTTCACTACCAAATAGATAATGGAGAATACTAATCAGGAGATGGCTGGATGGAATTGCAGACCACCCCCACAATACACACTCTTTGTTTTGCGGGTTGAGAATTAGTTTTAGCTTGAGTTGTACCCCAATTTTTAAAAAAACTGACGTACATTTATAATAAAGAAGTGCAAAGATACTGGGTTGTCGGAAAAGTCACGACGTATTTTTTCTATGTTTTTCATTGCAAAAATGCATCATGACTTTTCCGACAACCCAATATAAAGTATATGGTTTGATGAATTTTGATAAATTTATGTACCCGTGTAACTCAAACCCCCAAGTTATTTTGGGCAGAAACAATATAAATTAGTAGAATTAGAATGTCATGGCTTAGCCAGCAAGAATATGTTCCATTTAACAATATACTTGGCAATACTTGACAAACAGGAAGAAACACTGACAGTGGGGATTGCCAACTTAAATGCCTATAAGGGCAGCAGGTAAGTAAAATTAATAGCAAAACTAAAATTAATAGCAAAACTAAAATTAATGGCAACATAATAAAATGAATAGCAAAGCTGATCTAAATACATTCACATATGATGATTTAGTGGAGGGAAATGAAGAGCCCATACCTGTCAAATGGTAGCCTGATACTGTCCCCAGAGATAACTACCATGCAGGAATGAGGGCTTAGCTTTGCCAGACCTCAATTTTTCATGAAACACCAGAAATCTGTTATCTTACATTAAAAAAAAAAAAATGCTGGCTCAAAAAAATTTAAACATTATACAGGCCAAGCATATTTCTTCATGGGCTGGATTTGGTTCACTGGCCACCAGTTTATAATCTTTGCCATAGAGACTTGAAATTTGGGTGAATACAAGAGGTATGCACCTGGGATTCAATTTGAGAGGAAGCAATGAAGGAAACAATAATGAGAGGAGGTGGGTGAGGAGAGAAAAGACTATAAAGAGCTGGAATTGCTCAATATGCAAGTTGCAGGGTGTACTGGGCACTGTGTGAAAACCTATCATTTCTCCAGGTGCAAAGATTGTGATGAGTATAAATAAGATACCACAGACATGGAAGCCCCAAACTGGAAGGCAGCCTTTCTTAAAGCCTCTTGCCTCAATTGCTTTCTGTTCCTAGTTACCTTAAAAAACAAAACAAACAAACAAAAAACCTTTCTCTGATGAGATTACTGATAGATTGTCAATAGAAGGTGTATGCAGACCTATATTGCTTGTTATGGTAGCCAGGAGTCACAAGCAGCTAATGAGAATTTGCAAGAATTGGCTAGTCCCAATTGAGATATACTGCAAGTGAAAATAAACGTGGATTTGATGAACTTAGCATAAAAAAATGTAAAATAACTTTTTATCCTGAGGACATTAAAATGGTAACAATTAAAAATATATTGGGTTAAACTTAAAAAAATTTTTTTTCAATGTGACCACTAGAAAATTTTAAATTATGTATGGTTGGTATTCTATTTCGTTTAGACAGCACTAGTCTACGTTAGCTGTGTTAAATTTATAAGCAAGATAAAAAAGCACAGAATGGCAATCATGAAAACATACTACATAAAATAAACAAAACCCCAACTATATGTTAACAGTGATCTTCTCCAAGTAGTGGGTTTACAGAAAATAAATTTTTATACTTTCTGTATTCTCTAAGTTTTCTAGAATAACCTAGTAATTTAAATAAGTTGAAACAAACAAACAAAAAACCCAATATGCTCATACTCTGGAAATCTACTACCTGAATTTTGTTATTTCTACTTTCTAAAAACAGTGAGTACCAAATAAAAGTTGTTAAACTTCTCTGGACTTCAGTCATACATTTAATAAAATGTATTCCTGAATGACAAGAAAATGTCTTCCTTAAGCCAAGAAGGGGAGAAAAGTCCCATGTTTCCACCCTGCCTCTAAATTCTTTATAGTGGTTTAACTATACTATTGCTTTCATAAAAGCAGTCCTCCAGGCTGCAAAGAAAATAAAACTTCGTTCAACTATGTTCCATAAATATATATATATATATATATATATATCATATTGAGGTTTTGTTATATAGCCATATAGCCAACTTAGTTTTAAAAGTGACATATTTAGTTTTGTTTACCTTTATTACTTTCTCTTCATTTTTACTTCTTGTACCCAGCAGCTCAAGGTTCAGTTTCTTTTCCAGTAACATGCACTTTGAGACTTGCATTGTCTCAAAAGTTCTTCCTTCAATGACAGTCTCTACATTAGAGTCTTCAATCATTTCTGATTTATTCTTTTGGGTGAGTCCCAGTAATGGCTTATTTTCCAGAGACAACTTTTTAAGAGGCGGTTTTTTCCTACTAACAAAAAATGCTGCTCCACCCTGGAGTGTTACTTGTGGTTTGACTTTTTGGCTTAGAACTCGAGGAGCATTCAGATTATTTTCAGCTGAATACCAATTGTTCTCTTGCTCTACAACTGGTTTATAGACAACTCGATTTTGCTTGCAATCTTTAGAATTCTTTGATACAGGCTTGATGCACTTATAATTTGGTCGACACTTAGTTAAATTCTTCTGTGGTTTTTTGTTCATCTTCTTGGAGTGGACTGGTTTTCCCTGCAATTTTTTGGTCATACTGGGAAAAGGCTTATCTTCATTATTAGTTTTTAGACAAATGGATCTACTCTCTTTTATCATCTTTCTCTCCAATGGATTGAGGTAACACTTATTTTTGTTGTAAAAAGATATAGTAGACACAGCAGATTTAAAAGGCGAACCTTGATTTGCAGATGGTAATCTATTCTTTTTAGTTGTTTTGAGTGGACTTGAAATGAAATGGCCTTGTTGAGGGCAATACACCTTGTCTTCATTTTTATCATTGCTTTGGCAAATGTGTTTTTGATTAGGTGATGAAGATATATTTCCAGTAAAGTCCAAAATTAATTTCTTTGATGGAATGTCTGATAACAGGCTATGAAAAGAAACAAAGTCTGTTGATAAGTATTGTTATTTTACTTCAATTTTTATATCAATCTACTGCTAAATAAAAAACAATTTAGATCGTATTAAAAACAATACATCCCTCTCCACCTAACATCCAACCATACATATTATCTATTAGTTTAACATTAGGATTCTCAAATACTGTTGTTTACTAAACAAGCATTCAGATATTTTTCAAAAGTAAGATACTGTTTGTGAAAACACTGTTTACAAAGAAGCTTTGATATACATGTAGTATATGGATGTGTGTGTGTGTGTGTGTGTGTGTGTGTGTGTATATATATTTTAAAACCTATTTCTAAGTCCTGGGCATATACAAATTATAGCCCATGTATTTTGCTCCAGTGGCTACAAGCCCCCTAAAATGATTAATTCTATGTAATTAGGGCCTGTTCTGTGGGGAGTAATTTATATCTGGTATGACATGTAGTAAGTACTGAGTACACAGACTTTCTAGGATTGCTTATAGATGAGCATCCGCTGTATGCAAAACACTATGTCAAACATTATGTAAGCGGACAGAAAGGAGCAGCCAAGTAATAAAAGATTTGACATACATTTCAAACCCATAGAAAATAGCTTTCTTTGATTCTCTCCAAAACCATTAAATAATTAATTATGAAAACTTAGAGTATTTCCAGACTATAATTAGAATATAAAATATTACTATAGCCACGAGGAGTAAGCGAGTGAAAGAATGGAAATTTTAAGAGATAGAATAGAGAAGGTAAAAAGGTAAATTTTTCTTTTTTAAGTTTCTCTCCATAGGATAAGACTTACTTGTCACAGTTCAAAGAATCCTGCTTCCTTTTCCTTGGTGTAAAAGTTGACATCTTCTTAATTGAACTCCTAAAAGCAACAGGACAACTATAATAGCCAAATTCATCCAAGTATATATTTTAAAAAATCACTATATCAAAATTACGCTTTAAAAGTCAGAAAAAGTTTTCAGATAGGTGGCGGCGGTCCATTAAAGACTCAAAAATGGTTGCTTCTTTTTGTTTGTTTTTTTAAAAGCAAATCACTTTAACAAAAATTTAAACTATGAAGGTAAAAAAGGGAAAAACCGTACATCACAGTAGCAATTAAGAACGAGAAATAAAAGCAGGGACAGTACTTATGTTTGAAGCTGGAAAGTGGTCCTACCAAGGAGGCAGTATATTTTACCCCACTGCAGGGCACACTTTCCCCTTTAATTAGCCTGATTAATTCATACCAAGTTTAAACACTCTTATCTGATTAATTCATACCAAGTTTAAACACTCTTATCTTCTGGGACTCCTTTCTTACCATTGCACTCACCCATCCTTCCCACTGTTAGATGCTACCCTATGCTTCCATTCCACCCTACGCTTCCTAATATTCCAATTAACACATTTTCTTGTTGGTTTAACTGTTTCTCATGAGCCTGTATGTCCAATGAAGGCAGACAAGAGAGTGTTTCTAACTTTTTCATCAGAGTCCAGAGTCCAGGAAGAAAACAGGTGAAGCATAATCCTCTCCCATTTTACTAGCCGAGGAGCCTGACTAAGCCGCTTGTTTCCCTTATAAAATACCCTTAACTCCTAAGGCTGCTGGAAATATACAATCATGCACCTTAACTCTCGGGCAGATGGTATGTTGCTCAGTAAAAGCTTTCCCTTCCCTTTTAAGGTATATTTTAAAAAGTTACACAAGCGTGCTTTTAAAGTTAAACAAACGGAAAGACCAGCGTCTCTGGGAATTAATGTCGAGCTGCAGCTTAAAGAAGACCCTTCCTTCTAAGTATGAACGAGGAAAGGTATGCCTTTCAGGGCAAAAAGACAAAACTCCGAGCGAAGATGGAGACCCTGTGACCTGAAAGTGCGTAGAACAGGTTGGTGGTTTCGGTCTCACGCGGCCGACGCGCCAAGCCCAGAGCAAAAGCTTTTTTTCCTTGACATTCACCTCTACGGTCTATTGAATCTCCCGTTATCCTTGGTCTCCCACCGGACGCCTCGGCCCTCTGCAGTAATTACCTGCACCTCAGAGCCAGCAGCCCCTTCTCTGCCCAGGCAGTTGCTCCGCCACTGTATTCAAATTATCGCGCGCCAGTCAAGGCTGAAGCCGCTGCCTTCTGATTCGTCGTTTCTCAGCGCTTCCAGAAGCTCCCTCTGTGATTGGTCACACTCTGTTCTTTGCCCCACCCACTCCGGAGGAGGGTCTCCAAGATTCTCCCGCCCTTGGGAGGCAAAAAGCTGTCTTGGAGAAACCATGTCTTCCATAATCCCTTGCGGCAGCGCCCTAGTTTAGGTGCATTTAGTTGCATTCTGGGAATTGTAGTTTTGGGAAGAATAAAGGCTCCCCCTTGTACACTCCGGGGTCACTTGGTGTAAGATATTTTTGTAAAGTAGCCTCTCTGAGATTCTCGAGGCAGTTATATTTCACATTTGAAGTTTTAGCGTTAAACTTTTTTATAGGTTAGGTTTCTAGCTAATTATTTTTAAATTTTCAAGTTAAAAAAATTAAATCATGGCACTAATATCTGTTATGTACCAGGCTTTCTTACATGCTTTACGTGTTTTATTTCATTAACTTCTCACCACAATCTATAAGTATTATCATTTCCGTTTTGCAGAGAATAAAACTGAGGGCCTGAAAACAATTACTATTTATAGGGTATAGCTAGGTTCTTGCATAGGGGAGCCACAAGGTTCTCAAAACACTCATTGGTTGTTACCTACTGTTACTATCTTTGTGTTACCAGCTCCTGGTACCGTCTCCAGCACATTTTTAGTTTTAAATAAATTAGTTCAGAATGAACTAAGAGAAATAGATCAAAGCTAAGTGCAGTGTGAGCTTTACAGGAGTAAGGTTATTATTTTATAGCGGAAAATCTCTGAGATACACAGGTTTGGAATTTGCCCAATCTCACAGGTAACAAATGGCAGATCTTAGATTTAAAGAACAGCCTGGGGTCGACCGAGTGGCCCGATGGTTAAGAACTGGTTTGGGATGCCAGAGGGCCCCGGTTCGGATCCCACATATGAGGGCCAGTGACACTGCCCTCCACAGCTAAGATGCTGAATAACAGCTCAACCTGGACCTGGGCTGTCATGAGTTGCCGGCGACCCCGTAGGCTGCAGCCCCTGTGGCAGTGGGTTGCCATGGGCTACCGTGTGTAGCCAATAGCCAGCGTGAGCGGCCAGCAGCTGCAGTGAGTAGCCGTCCAGAAGCTGGCGACTCAGCTGCCTCACCCGGAAGAGTACAATGATGGTGCCAACTTGGGCCAGTGAAGCAACGTCCTCCACAACTAGACTGAAGACCAAAAACAACAGCAACTTGTCTGTTCCCCTTCCCCCAATTCCCCAATAAAAATCTTTATATAAAAAAAAAAAAAAGGTAGAACAGCCTGAGTCCAAATGCAAGAGGCATATTGCCTATGGGGAATATCACTAACAACTCACTTGAGTTGAGTGCTAGTCTCTAAATCAGCGGTTCTCAACCTTCCTAATGCCATGACCCCTTAATACAGTTCCTCATGTTGTGGTGACCCCCAACCATAAAAATTATTTTCGTTGCGACTCTATAACTGTAATTTTGCTACTGTTATGAATCGCAATGTAAGTTTTTGTTTTCCGATGGTCTTAGGCAACCCCTATGAAAGGGTTGTTCGACCCCCAAAGGGGTTGCGACCCACAGGTTGAGAACCGCTGGGTCTAAATCCTTTATACCTATTTACTTAGCCCTAGTAAAATAATCTATGAATTAGCTGCTCTATTCATCTTAATTTTGCAGATGAGGTAAGTGAAGCACAGAATGTACCCAAGCGTGTGCCTTACAAGAGGTGAAGCCAGAATGAAAATAGCGGAGGAATTTGGGTTCATTCAAAATTTAATAAACTCTTACGAAGTTTCAAGCACTGCGATTGAAGCAGTGAACACCTAGCTGTAAAAAACGCAAACTGTTTCTTCTCTCAGGGGAAGCAGATAAAACCAATCAATAGATAAGCCGCAAGACTTGACCGCCAAATGGGTGGGAATTCTGAAAATAAAGTCAGCCAATGGCATTTTTGTCTTAAAAAGATGGATTTCCGGCTATGTCTTCCAACCAGTTGCCTTGGCACCATCCTCCTAGCCCTGAAAACACCCTAGCCCGCCAACACTCTCCTCGCCAGGATTAAAGATGGCGCTGACGGGCCGACGTTATGACGCGACCCCACGTCCACCGGAAGTGCATGGAGGAGTTCCGGGGAACCGGCGGCCTCTGCGCTTCTAGTATCCTGAACTTAGAGAGTTGGGTTCCGCTACTCCGCGCTGGAGTCGCTGCCTGCGGGCATCATGGTGTTCTACTTCACTAGCAGCAGCGGTGAGTGGGCGCCGCGATCTTCGGTGTCCCTTCTTGTTAGCGTGTCTCCGAAGCCGGGACCCCCCTCTTCTCCCTCCCACCCCCCCAGGCTGCCGCGGAGCCTGGACCTTGTTCTAAAGCGCCTCCTCGGCCGTGGGCGTCTCTTCCCGAGCCCTCTCGGCACCCCTGCCGTGTTCGTTCTTGTCTCCCAGTGCCTCCTGATCAGGGCCTGAACGGCGTGGAGAGACCGTCCCCACTGCGTTCTTTGTATCCGGGAGTAGTTCTCTTTTCTCAGTCCGAAAGACCTTCCGTCATTACCTGGAGTCGGGCAGTTTGTGGGCTTCTTCACACCCCCATTTCTAGGTCCCCCGCCATGGCCTTTATTCTGGCTCTGCCCTAGTAAATTATCCACTTTCAGAAAGAAAAGAGACACTTGCCAACCACTATGCTTTACGGGAAATGCGCCTCACTCTTCTAGGAAAGGGTTGTAGGGGCTGGGATGCAACAGAACGCAATTAAAAGACCCTAGAATGGCTATACTCACTGGGCAGAATTGATGCCCGGATCTTGAAAAGTGACATGTAATGTTTCTGATTTGTCTTTGGCAGTCAAGGAAAAGGTGCTCTTAGTTCCCAGGAAATGCTGTTGTGTAGAATTCGTTTCTCTGCTTATGTTGTTCCCTTTGGTAGAAACAACCCCCAGTTAACTGCTGCACCCTTAAGGACAGCTCTGGCTTATGTTTTCCAAATGCCTTTTTCCGACCTAGCTCTGACCCAGAGATTGCTTAGGTATACCTCTTCGGGACCCTCTTAACACCCTTTGTGTACCTGTGACATTGCACTTACCATATGGCATTAAACGCTGCCTGCTTGAACTAGATAGAGTGTAAGCGTAAGCCCCTTGAGGGCAGAGACAGGCTCTCCTTGTGTCCTTAGCATAGTGCCTGGCTCATAATAGTTACTCAGTAAATGCTTGTTGAGTAAATGAATGGTATTTTTTGGCTTACTCATAGCACACTATTCTATTGCTACTCTGCTTGCTTATTAAAGTGGAGATTTAAGTGAAACTAGCTCCACATTGTTTGTGTGGGATTGAATAGGGTAGTTTTCGCTCTTTAGAGGTGAGAACATTGAGGCCCAGAGAAGTTGTAACTCACAGACCTCCCCCATCCCCACCCCTCCTACTCCATCACATTGTCACCTCTCATTTTTCTCAGTAGTTTAAACTTCCACAGTGTACCATAGGCTATTTCTCTGCTTCTCTAGATTTGGTTGGTCTTACCCATATTATTAAAATTACTAGAAAAAAATTCAAACTAGCCTGAAAAATCATTTTAGGCCCCTAATAGCATTTTCAGTCCTCTGTCTGTTCTGCTCCCTCTGTCATAACTTGAGCATCTCTTTGTAGCTTCTCCACTCAGGAAAGTCCTCCACAACATAAGTATCTACATGTGCCCAAAATGGGATAAAAATTTCAGGCAGGGTAGATAGGTATTAAATGTATTTTATGCGAGATGCTTTATTCTCCTTAAAGCTATTCTAAATTCTTTGAGAACTAGTCATACGTACACAGGTGTCCTTAATAGATAGAGTATTTCTGCAAATTTATGGATCATATTTGGCTTCCATTATAATAACATCATAACTGCTTCCTTTTGGAAAAATATTTAACCTCCAAGCCTAATAAAACTGTGCTTGTGCAACAAATCTTTTAAAATTGCAAAGTTAATGGAAACATTATAACTTTTCCAGTAAAATAGTAGAACTACATATTCCAATACCTTGAACATACAGAATCATCAGGAAATGACTTCGTATAGCTAGCCAAGCTTTTCAACCAACTGATGTTACTGCATAAAAACTTTTTTAAAAAATGGGAAGAATATCTCAATAGAAATTTTTTTACCTTTCCTTTTAAGATTAGTATCTCAGACTAAAGTCTGTTCAATTTTATTCTTTTATGCTTTCTCATAGTGGAATAATGAAAAAGCCTTATTGTATTTCCAGTGTCAAATTCAAGACCATGTGATTTATGGGCCCACAAAATACCTGCACTGGGCTCATTAAGTCCATTTATATTTTTAATAGCATCTATCTTAAGATAGATGTTCTGTAAATTATGAAATCACAGCACCTCTAAAGTTGGGTTGGTGGTTATACCTGAATCAGGTATCTTCAAGGTGACTAGTTTCTGTACTAATCAACCATCTTATTTGGGTGAGAATAACAAAACTACTAGAATATTTCAGTTTACTTTTCCTTTATCTCATTAACATGGACAGGAACTTAGTTCAGACTTCTTGTTCAGCAATTCATGCTCTTTATTTTTAATTTTTAATTTTGACATAATTTCAGTCTTTCAGAAAAGTTACAATAATAGTAAAAATTTCCTTTATATCCTTCTCCCAGACTCCCCAAATTCTAGCATATTACATTTGCCTTATCTCCTTTACCCCTTTTTTTCTCTTCATCTCTCTCTCTCTCTCTCTCTGTCTCTCTCTCTGTCTCACTGTCTCTTTCTACATAGACACACACGCGCACACACACACAGAAGCATGCACAATTTTTCTTCCTGAACTGTTAGTAAGTTGCAATTTACCCATAAATATTTATTTTTTCCCCCAAGACCAAGGATATTCTTTTTTTTTTTTTTTTTTTTTTTAGCTGAGCCATCCTGC